TCTTCCCTGCCTCCACCTCTTTGAGTCATCACCATTCACTATTTTTGTCTCCAAGGTCTAGTAATCTTGTGAGGCTGCACACATCCCTGTGGGATTTATGACCTGATATCCTATTTGTCACCAGCATAGCCCAGTCTAAAATGTGTCTTTCTCGCTGAGTCTATCCTTCTTGTGCCTCAGCACCCAAATATTCCTATTCAGTCTTCATTCATACCAGCCTTAGTCATTCTATTGCAGTTCTCTACAAAGATGTTGTAGGTGGTTATAGTAGTTTCCTTATGAAATTTGTGGCAGATTGAGGCACGGACTTAGATCAGTGCAGATCCTGAGACACTTTATTTGCAACAAGCACTTCTATTTATATCCGGTTTCCCTTCCCCTCAGTTCTGCCTAGACATTTTCCAGCAGAGTTGCAACACCGGAATATCCTAAGCAAGGCCCTCAGCTGTCCATGCGCTTATCACCTGATTCTACTGTCCTCGGTGTTCCTTTCTTATGCCGATTTCGGCAGTTCACCTCTTTGCTTCCAACGTCCTGTTTTTAACCGCTATGTTTATTTGCCATGGCAACCCATGGTCCAAGATATCATGGCCTGTTAGGCCTGCTAAGCTCTCAACAGACCCCACAAAATTGATACACCTGAGCGATGCTCTCACCTAAGATACAAGTCCTAATTTCTTCTTGTTTTTCTATAGCACTACAGAGACTCTGCCCTTGAGTACTTACTCAATATTCCTGAACACCCAGAACTCAAGTATTTGATTGAAGAATTAATTGAGCTAGAGATCTTTGCGTGTGGATAGGAGCTAATTTTAGGAAATTTCACAGTGTTATGGAGCAGATTAATCTATCCATGTAGACCTGGCTTTGCTCACCTGTAGCTGCTGCTATGTAAACACTTGATATCAACAACAGTTGTAAGAGATTATTAACTACAGACAAAAGCAATTATTTTAGGTCCACGTATCTTATTCAATAGCTATTGCATTCTGCAAACTCATCTTCTCCAAATGTAAATGAAAGGAGGCAGAAAACAATCAACATGCCCAGAATTACCTTTCTAATACTACATGCTCCAGGGCAGTGGTAAAACTGTTGTGCAGAATGTAGAGGCTTCAACTGGCACTATTACCCCTCTAAAAAAAGTGAGGAAAAAAATTGCTTACAGATCGTTTTGTACAATGACATCATATAGAGGAGGTCGCAAAAGATAACACTTGTATGTAATTGTCACAATGACATCATCAATAAAATTTGTTTCACCAGTATTTAAAATCCAGGTAGACTGAGGACTTAGAGACATATGAACAAACTACATTATTGTAAAAAATTGTTCTGCACCTTTTGATCCACCATGTGCCAGCATATTTGCACAGCAGTGTAACCAAAGGAACTTCTAGAGCAAAATGTGGCCGTTACCCTAAATAGTTGCATTTTCTTGCTCTTTTATTTGACCTCAATGATCAATATTAAAGAAAAGTGTATCTGCTTAATCAGAAAACGTGTACGATGATGAAAATGTATGTTTTACCATTTTAAAATATTTTTTGTTTCAGGTTTGATTTTAACCCAGGTTTTCTCTTTAAATAGACTTTCTGGGAGCAGGGTTTTTATAGATAAATGGAAATATTAAAGGGAGAAATGTAAATACGGTTGCTTGCACTATGACAGGTGTCCGGAGTGGGAAAAAAATTGTCTCTAGTATTTTTCTTCTTCTTTCCTTTTAACACATACAACAAGTTTTTTAGTTTTGAGATTTGGAAAAAAAAAAATATTGGTTTAAGATTTGGTGAGAATGTGTTTGTTTTAATGCAATATTGTCTCTATATATCTGTTACTATGTCAGATTTTTTTTGTATGAAAACCTAGTTCTCTTCTTAAAAGCTTCAAAATCTCAAGACTGCTTTTTAGAACTTATTTTTAAATGGATATGACATCCATTTTGTGAAAGCAAATATTTACTGTGTTAAATGAGGATGTAAATTTTTCCAGAAGACTGAGTGCAAAATTATGTTTGTTAGTCAGCTATATTTGCAAGATCAGTATGTGAATAGTACTGAAGAATCAACTCCTGTATTCAGATGAATTGGAAAAAAATTATCATCTTAGATAACTTCAGTAAGATCAACAAATTAACATACTCATTAACTGCATGCATATAGGCTGCTAGTGTGCTGGCATCATTTCCAATACTTAGCTTTGCAAATCTGGAACACAGCTGATAGTGATGTTGACAACATATCGATGAAGTGGTGGGGTCTTTCCATTTTGTGAGCACTGAAAGACAAATCAAGTTTCTCAGAATCAGATGAAGCTGCAGACAAAGCATAGGAGCATGGTATTAGGGTGAGTTCATGTAGTCTTACCCTAATTCAGAAAGGTTGAGAAAATGGACATTGTTGCGTGTTCCTCACCAGTAGTGTATTAACACAGCATAATCCCATCATAAACAAAAACTCTTGCTGACTCCATTTTGCAGTTTTAGTAATCTGCTGTTTCTTCTTCCACAGGAGTGTGGTTGTACCAGTAAAGAAACCCCCTCCAGGTAGTCTGGCTGTTACCACAGTTGGAGCTGCTACAGCTGGGAGTGGACTGCCACCGGGTAGTACACCTAATATATTTGCTGCGACAGGAGCTACACCAAAAAGTATGATTAATACAACAGGTATTGTCCTTAAATATTTTTGTGACCCCCATTTTTTCTTGTTTGTTTTTTGTTTTGTTACTTTTAGTGGTGTTTTGTTTTTTAATCATCTTTTTTTGTTACTGTTTTTGTACTTCTAAAATAAAAACCTGGAATTATTAAATCTTGGCCTTAATTAGAGCCAATGTTTTCTCTTCAGGTATGTTTATAACCTTTGATAGTGCACATGGGACTTTCACAGCCTTAAATAAATTAATAAATAGCTTTAATACTGTTTTATAAGTGTAGTTTAGCGTTGAAATAAGCTAACTTCTCCAGTGCTCTGCAGTAGATGTTTATATGATGTACACCAACTAATCCTTTCTTATTCATCAAAGTAAAGAAAAATAGCTACTTAATAAATATATTGTACATGGTGGAGAGTTAATACTTTGGGAAATTACTATTTGTCAATGAAAATTATGCTATGATTTTTTGGGTGGTTTTTCAATAAGAACCTACCTAATTTTGCAGTCTTGTCTTATCAATACTTGTTTCTTGTGACGTATGGGAGGAGGACAAGACCTTCTTTTTTAATTATTTATAATAGTTATAATGGGATTGTCTGTCATAAAGGAGCCTGTTAACCATGGAGACTGGTTTCCATTCAGAAATTAATCCTTACAGAGAGCAACTGATGTTTACTTAAACGCATTTGAAATGTCTGGCTATTGTTTTCTTTCTAAACGGAGTAAAAGCACTTGAGAGAAGAGCTCTCTTCAAGGATATCACAACTTCAGTCAAGGGTTGAGAAAATGAAAATCTCTCGGGGGTTGCAGAAAGTGGAGGGGGAAGCTTTTGGCATCCTTCTGCTTTACGGAATAATATGAAGGCACACTCATTTTTTTTTCTTTCCTTTTGCAGATTACCTTTAATACCTGGTAATAGAACTTTGATTTTACTAAGGATAAAAAAAAAATCTTAAAAATCTATTTATCCTGAGGCAGATGGGAGGAATGAATGCTCTGAATAATGTTTTCACTTCTATGAACAGTTCCATTTGTGTAGCCTCTTCTGTTAATCTTGAATGGATTTCCTTTTAGGTACTCTTATGTCATGCAAAAAATATCCTACATTGGAAACCTTGTTTTCCATATGATACTGAATAGTGTAAGCTTTTCATTCTTCTCACTGATTAAAGATGTGAACTGTTTTGGCTGGAATGTAGTTGCCCTTCTTTGTAAGTAATTGCATTTTAAAATCAGTCATTTCCCCAATACTGTCCTTAGTAGAGGACAGTATTGCAGATACCATGGTACATTCACTGTGGATTACAGGCTGCTTTTTTGGTAGGTTTTATAGCTTCCTTTTTTTTTTTTTTTTTAATGCAACTGGTTTTGTCTCCTAGTCTATGGATTAGCTTGATTAAAGGAAAAGTATTGATTCAGTGGAATTTCAGCAAGTATCAAATTTAATTAGAACTGTATGTGTTCTGAACTTCTTTAGTGATCTTATTTGACAAAGCCTTTTATGCGTGAATTCATCTGAGTGAGCTTTATTGATGAATTCTCTTAAGAAAGTCCTTCATCTCCAACTTTTTTTAGATTTGAATTGTATATCAGCAGTTTAGAGATGTTAAACATATTAATGGCAGTTTAAAAAAGTATTGAAAACATATAAATATATAGTAGATTAAAATGCTTGTTTTGCTATTTTTAAATGAGCTATGGCTACAATAGTTTAAACAGTCATCATGTATGTCAGTTTTTGAGATATATACATGAAGTATCCAGTTACTTGCTGGTTTATATACTTGTAGAGTTTGTGAAATTATTTATGTTATTAATGATTTTGAAGTAGTGTATAAAATTCCATTAAATAACACTTTTTTTTTTTTTTACTATGGTAAAAAGAAACAGTAGACAAATTTTTAGAAACACTAGATGTCCCCCCAGACCTTCTATTTACAGTTGTTTTTTACAGTATGTCACAGATACTCTAGAAATACAGTTTTTTCTTTGAGGTATATTCTGTGCTGGGCTTGTGAGAAAGGTGTGTTTTTCTGTTATTCATGGATTGCAGTCGGTGTTTACATTCCATCTGCCATCACTGTTGTAGTCAATGTCACTGTCATGATGTAATGAAATGTATGTTACTGAAGTCCTTTTAGTGCTTTGAATGTATCTTCTGAGAGATAGTTTTCCTTCCTTCATCTCTTTATATAAGAATCTGGTTTTTACAGGTTTTAGATTGGATTTCTCTAATTCATATCCTGATTTTCACTTCTAGGTTAATCCAGTAGTTCTTAATCTATTTGGCCTTCTAGGAACCTAGCTAAATTAAATAATTTAGTAACTACTTTTTTAGATAAAAACCTTAATGAAAATAATTTGACTGCGTAAGGAAAAGAGTAAGAAGCAATCAAAATATTTTACTTATGTATGTATAAATATATATGTACATAAGATAAATTCCATAAGTAATATAAATATGTGTGCACACACACATACACATCTACAGGAAGCCTTGTCTTTGAATGCAAGGTTTTTTCAGCTCTCCTGTTCCCAGCTAAGTTGCTGTGATTCCCATATTGGGAGAGATGGCCACCTTATATTTTTGTGTTTCCTTCTCAGTGTGTCTGGGTACATTTACAATTTGCATTTAGTCCAAATGAGAACCCATGGTATAAACCAAAACCCTCCTCCCACTCACATTATTAGGCTAAATCAGTTCCTAGTCTAAATTCTGAACCTAACCACTTACTCCAGTGTCAGCGAGCCCAGTAAATCCTCCTGTTTTGAATGTAAATTTTCTTATATGAACCAGTCAAAATTCTCATTTCTACTTTTAATATTTTATCAGTAAAAATTAGTTAAAGGCAAATTAAAAAAAAATTAATCCATGCTGTAAGAGAGTTTTTCACCATGACCAGCATTTAACCTCTACTGTCAGCTGGCTGCTTAAGCAGTTAAGAAAATATAACTGCTTTGTAGAACTCTGCAGGAAACTTGAAAATAATATATACCTGTGTGATGTAAAGAACAATGATATATCAACTGCTAAAACTGACCAGCAACAAGGAGTTACTATTTTTATCATTTTAAAATATTGGCAGAATAACGCCATTGATCTCTAAACTGTGGTTCTCCACCCCTTGTTGCTCGCTTGGATAAATGTTGTTGCCTGTCGCCCTTGTCTCTGGAAGCACTGCAGTCCCTAAGGCTTTGAACTCCAATTCCAACTCCAAGGCTGTTCCTTGCTACCTCTCATGCTGTGATGCGTTGCACAAGGACCATGCAGCAGAACAGGGACAGCATTTGTCACAGTGCTCCCGTTACCCTTCATGGCCACTCTGAGCCGATGCTGGTTTGCTTCAGAGAGGCTGAACTCACAGTGCCATTTCAGCAAACATGATAGATTGGCATTAAGAGTCTAAGTTTAGCCCTTAGCTCTGACCCAGATCACATAAAGTATAAATGTATGCTCTGTCTGCATCTTTCTTCTAGGCAGCTGTTCACAACCCATTGAAATGATACCCCCACTGCCCTCCCTGCTTGTGCGATCTTAAAATTCTCCTTGACTCAAGGAAGGAAACAGAAATAAAATTAAAAGCCTTAATTCTCCTCAGACACTAGTTTCTCCCATTACTTTCTGAAGGAATATACATTTTCTATCTTATCTGTCATTTTTTAATTTGCATTTTATTTTCTGCCTGTAGTTACAACTGGGCAGCCAAGAAGTGTGTTCATATATATATTAAAAAAAAAAAAAATAGATAAACTTCTATTCTCCACTCAAGCTCATCTTAAATATACCTTTGTTTTAGAAAGATCTTGCTTTACAGGATGATGTAAAAATATTTTCATCTTTGGAATATAATTTGGGAATAATGAAAATGAGGTAAGGATTTATTTTGCCTAATTTTCAATAGCTTTGTAAGCTTATTATTTTTATACTAAAAAAGTAAGGTATTAATTTATATGATAATCATATGGAATGATTTTAATTGTTTTAGAATAAATAATATTATTTCCTTACTTAAAACTAGATGAATAAGACAAGGACTGTATTAAAATTCTCTGAAAGTTACCTTTCTTCAGACTAAATTAAGACCTGTATTTTTTGGGGGACAGGTGCAGTAGACTCAGGATCTTCTTCTTCCTCTTCGTCATCCAGCTTTGTGAATGGTGCTACCAGCAAAAACCTCCCAGCTGTCCAAACTGTTGCTCCAATGCCAGAGGATTCAGCTGAAAACATGAGGTATAAAATTTCTATCTTTTAATATTAATTATAATTTCTCCTCCCACAACAACTTCATACATACAAAATAGTATAAATAGAAAAAGATATATAATTTTAGCTCATTTAATATTTTAGTTATGAATTGAGTATAATATGTATTTTTATACTTTTTTGGTACTAAAATAACTCTACAACAAACTATGCCAGACACTAAAACCACATTAGAAGTAATTTTTTAGTTGACCAGCATTTTATATGGCTCAGTAATGACAGTAAGAACTGGAACTCAAGCAGAACTTGGCAATGGAGCACTAGCGAATGGAAAGAGACACACAACCTCTTCTGAGCAAACAAAAGCCCTATTTAATCTGGAGAGGAGGAAACCAGACATATATTCATGCAGCTAACTAAATGGTGCAGCAGATCTCAGTTGGTGTTGTAAGAGACACATGCCACGGGATAGCTAATACCCTTCTTACTGGGAGCCAGGAAAATGCCCTCTGAAATCCCTATAAAATATCTTTGTGTAATAGATCATTATTTTGTAAACTTATTCCGTTGTGCCACAGCACACCTCAAGGACAAATTTTTTACCTTCTCAAGGTGCACATCTATCTGCCCTAAAAAGCTGACAGAGGGTATAGTAAGGAGTTGGCAAGTGTTCCTTAGTTGGCCAGCCACTTTGAAGTGTCGTTTTAAGGAGTTTGGAGTGGAGACAGCAACCAACCTAGCTGTTCATCAGCTTGCAAGATCATGAAAAAGAGAATTTCATTCCTTAAGGAAATAGAAAGGAAATAAACTTAAATCAAGGATCCTAGGGAACCTGTAAAAAGTACTGGTGATCCAGTGAATTAACACAGAGTGCAAAAAATGCCTTTTTTTGCTGGTCCTATCTGAAGGGTCAGGTGATTGGTGTAGGTGGAAACACTGCAGTGGTTGCCAGCCCAGGCTGAAAGTGTGAGGGCTGTTGGCTCCACTCCAAAAAGGTGCAAATGATCAAGGAGGGAATGACCATTTGTATGGCGTTATTTATTGCTTGACAGCATTACAAGACAAGTTAATAAAATTGTGACATAATTCAACTGCTCCTTTTGCTTCCTATCTTCTTCATATGTTAGGACAGTGCTTTGATGTGGGTGAAATCTTTTTTAAAATTTATATACTGAGGTATGTTAAAATTAAACTGGATCACTAGTCAGTTTATTTTTCAGTTATTTCAACTAATGCAATGTTCTTAGGTTTTTTTTCACAAGCATTTTGAAAGTTTTTGTCCTGTCATCAAAGATGCAGGACAGCTGCAAAATCTAGAATTCAGATTTTGAACTCAGAACTTGAACTCAGAGATAGTTCTACTCTGAGTAGTAACTGAAATTAGCGACTGAAAACACTTATGTGGAGCACAATATCACAATTGTAGATAACTTAAAGCTAATCAAGACAAGAAATGTCTTGTGGGCTTTTATCACTTCCCTCACACCCAACCCCCAAGAAACAACTAAAACTTTATTTTGATAATAGATAATATTGGGGTTTCTAATTTTGAATTAATTTGCGTCAGCTTTTATGAGATTGAAAATCAGAGTTGTTTGTGGGGTCAGAGACCATGACGTGAAAGCTAATTCACGTAAACCTTCCCTTATAGCCGCTCTATCAGAAAAGAGCTGCTTGTGGCTGTAGACTAAGCAGAGAAAAGTGAACAGGAGCATGATCTTGGACTTTCAGGCATTGAATAGTCTTGATTTGGAGGTAGAAGTTTGGCCTGGAATGAGACTGGGCAGGTAGCATACTTGGGACTGGGAGAGTGGGTGCCCCCACCACTCATTGCACTACCTTGTGGCCAGTTCTAGCACTAGGTAGTAAGAACTGGCCACGGGATCATTTGGTCTCTTTGCTCACAGTTTAAAAGTATTTTTTTTAATCTGATGTTGCCGCTGTGTTCTTTCAATCCTTCCAGTCCTGTTTGATTACCTTCATATATATATGTTATAGGTATTTATATATCATATATATTATTTATTTTCTGATATGTGTTACCTTTAATCTGCAAAATAAATAATCTTGTATTTGGAAGCTATTAAGAATTTATTTGCTTGGAATAACCCAAGCAAATTTTTGGGAAAAACCCAAAATATTAATTCTTTTTAAAAAAACAAAAAAACAACAAACAAAACAAAACCCTGAAATCTCCTAGTTCAGTCATGACAACTAGTTACATTAATCCCCACAGGGAGTTCCCTGATGATTGCAGGATACATTATAAAGTATAATAGATGTTAGAAACAGCTGTAGAATCAGATCAGTCTCTCTTCTTTATTGCTGCTCTGTGTGTGTGTACCGCAAAGGCAGTAGATGGGCCACCTACTTCCCTGAAACATTTTTGGTGTCTCTGTGTATTCTTTTTCCTAATTTTGCTTGTTCTTTTTGAAACTGAAGGACTCAAGTCAGGTTTCAACATGTAAATGCGGCAGGAATTTATATGAAGGAAAAAGGATTTCTTTTTTTCTCTATTTAAATATTAATTTCTGTCCTTTGAGATGCATTTTTAAACAGTGCTGAACTTTGATCTCACATTTTCACAGAATACTATTCCCAGTTGCCCATTAACAGATCCATGATATACAAGATCCATCAGTTATCCATTTGATAACAAGGTGTTTATTAATAGCTCAAGCAAAGTGTTGATTAATAGCACATCCACACCTCCTATATTACTGGATTCTTAAATAAAAATTGATCTTAATTTAAAAACTTCTCAACTTGAATTTTTTTCAATTGTATGTAAAGTTTTCAGGTTAAGTGAACTCTAAAATTAGGCTTTTTAAAACAATATACAGTGAAGGCATATTTTAAAACATGGTTTTGAGAAGTCTGGATTGGTCTTGTAGGCTTTTTATCTCTATCAACAAAAGGTTGGGTTAGATTAGTGTTGCAAATTAAGAACTCAAAGCTAGTTGCCTGCATTTCGAGTACAGTCAGTAGAGAATTTAGCATAATCATCTAAAACAAAGGCTGGTGATATGAATCCATCCTTTAGAATATAAGAAAATTGATATCTGTATTTGAAATAGGAAAGCAGCACATTGAAAGAAAATAAGCTCTAGGTTCAGTAAAATAATTTTAAGAAAATTAAGGAAAACTTCCAATGTGTTTATAATGACAGCTAGTTTTCTTTTTAAATGTAGCGATCTTCATGTGATCAGAATTTAAAATTCCACATTTATTTAGTGTTTATAGATAGTAGATACAATATAAAAATTAAATGCCAGCATTCATTCTCTTAGATTCTGTCAATAAATGTAACTGCTTCCTATAACTGTGCTTTTAAATGCCAGTAATATTTTGGTGCCATAACTCAAGCACAAAGAAAATCCCTTCAGCCACCAGCAGTTTGAAAAAGAACAGCAAAAATTCTTGGTAGACCAAAATATGTATGTAATTTCATTTCTATTTTAAATAGTTTCATTCTTTAACATAATGCAGCAGATTTTTAACCTTGGCATAAGAGTTTCAAAGGGCCCTGTCAGACTTTAAAAGGGAAGAAGGACTCTTAAGGGTTACAATCCTTAGCACACTTGCTGATGTTTGCATACTATTGCTAGGTTTGTATCCTCAGACAAAGGAATATTATTTCTGGTATTTAAGAAGCAAATAGACTTCACAACACCTTCTCATTGTACAAGTAGAAATTAAGGAACACTCCATGCTTCAAAGAGTGTATAGTCTCAGCAGGCAGAGAAGTATAAATGCAAAGGCAGTCATTTAGCTGGGACCATGTTCCCTAAAAGCTGAAGAATATTGGTTTTCTTGATACCTGTGCCAGTACACTTCCTCATACACTCCCTTGTTTAGCATTGCAGTGCCAGATGTTGCTATTTGAAACCTTGAACAAAAAAGCAAGTTACTAGTGATTGCATTGCGTGCATAAAATCTTCTGTTTTCAAGCTTTCAAATGTATATAAAATTCTGAGATACATATAAGCTGAGATAGGTGAAATAGACTTACACTTGAATGTATGGCATACTTCTTACCACGTTTCAAAATGAGAATACAGATTTTAATTGTTCTGGAGTACTCTGTAAATGCTGTAGAATTTATGAGGCTGCCACACTTCTGACTCTGACCGGACATTTGCATTTACCTTGATCCATTTAACACTGTAAAGTTTAATCAAATTATGATCATCCTCTTTTCCAAAGAAGCTTACAGCAACTTTTAAAAACAGCTATGACTTGACATCATTTCAGTTCTGTTGTTAAATGTTCTTTCAATCATGGTGTCTGTTTTTCCACAGTATCACTGCAAAGCTTGAAAGAGCCTTAGAAAAGGTGGCCCCTCTCCTGCGAGAAATTTTTGTTGATTTTGCCCCTTTCCTATCCCGAACATTGTTGGGCAGTCATGGACAAGAGCTGTTGATTGAAGGTACTGTTTCTGTTCTAAAATTATATTATCTTAGCTATTAATCATTTGCTGTGAACAATTTTTCATTTTCACTAGACTGTATATAACTATTTTGATAAATTAATCAGCTGTTAATATGTTGTGATTTCACTTCCTTGAATTTAATTTCATTTAAAGAAATTAAAAGTGATAGCTTCTGTATTCCTTTTTTTCCCTCTAAATGAGATGCAGTGTAGAGATACATCCTGTCATCTTGGAATGCAGAAACCTCTCTATAGTTTGCTTTTTCTTCCTCAGAATAATTATGTGTTTCAGCCTGACTTTGAGAACCTAGTGGAAAATACAATTTAAAAATTTAATCAATTCCCATAGAAGAAAGTAAGCTGAAGACTGTGCTCCAACATTATTGACAAGTGTATCTATATTGTGTAGGGACATTATTTGCTCAGGTAGGTTGGTTGGATTCACATAGACAGATCAAGAGTTGTCCCTAGAGAGAAAAAAAAGTGATGATTTTTTAAAGAAAACTATCTTTGAATTAAAGGATTTTTATGGGGGTTTGTGTATTGTCTTGACTACTTCAGAGTTACAGAAATTGTCTCATAAGTGAGGCAGTATATAATGCATAAATTATGCAGAAAGTGCAAATATGACATGCTCATGCAGAAAGTAATGAATCAGTGCTAATGCAGTTAATATAGTAATGGGGGAATTTGCATGAATGTGTACTGCTCCTGCATGCTATATCCTGCATCCATTCTATATTCAGCCAAGTAAACTTTTTCCTTCCAGAATTGTTCTTACACACAGTATTGCTGTTTATTGAGAGGAAAAAAAAATCTCATTAAGGCAAAGTTTATAATGTGTGAAGAACTGTGCAGAAAAAAACACAACTTTATGTTCAAATTCCAAAACTCCTTCTATTATACATGCATTTTATCTAAATATTAATGTACAGTCTTTCTGTGGTCTCAGTTATTACTCCCCACAATGTTGGCGCTCTCTGAATGCTAGAAATATTTGCACTTTAAACACAAATCTTTTAAATAGCCTTTTCCATTTTCTGTCTAATTGTTGTTTAATATTATTGCTTAATAATACCAAGGAATGGTATTGTAGCTTAGTCATCCTCAGAAGTTTCAGGTATTTGATACTGGTGTTTTTATACCTATGGGTAAGTTGCAGTTCTCCCTTCGTGACACCTGAAGTTAATGGTCTGAGATGCTCAATGAGACTCATGACTGTAAGATGTTTGATAGATTCCATTATTAAATCTCTTATTTCAGTGAAGTTGATTGCAAAATTTGCAGCAGTGTTATCCTTTTCTGTTTGACAACTGATTAATTACACTATAGTTTTTATACAATACAAATAAAATTGTCTTGGTTTTGCCTGAGCTCTTTTATAGATTAAAAAACTTCTTCACCGATGCTTTTCTGATTTCATCTTTTGGTCAGATTCATAACGTGAAAAAAGGCTACAACAGTTCTCAGCATACAACAAAGACTGAAAAGTTGGAGGCCACAGGGACCTCACAACTATATGGCAATATGAGTTTATCTCGTTGTCCTTGGACTGTCCTTCCAAATTTTGTCCCATCTGTGACTCAGCCACCCCATTCAGGAATCACTGTTTATGAACCAAACACCCAATTCCAAAATAAGGGCTGTCCTTCCCATCACTTTTCCTTAATATTATGTCTAACCTTCTCTTCAATCACTCTCTCATTCCTGATTTCTAAAAAACAGTCCTGTATTCCCAAGATATTGAAATAGAGATCTGTAAAAAAAAAAAATCCAAGCACACCTTAGATTTTTACACTGCAGGACTTTAATTTCTGTTTGCTTCCTTTTAAGTATTTGGGCTTTTTTTACTCCTTAACAGAGAACTCAGATGTTTTTATAGTAATTTTGTACTACTTCTATTTTCCTTCTTCACTGCCTGTATGAGACCCTTGATCTCAACTAAACTGAATTCTTGCCTAGTTAAATTGCCTTTAAAAGAGAATTCTAAATTCTCTCATAGTCTGATACTTGATTACTTTGAGGAATTTCCTGTCATTGTTTACTGAAAACCAGTGGTGGTCCTTGTAATGCTTGAAAGTGCTCTCCATGGAATGACTCTGCAAAATAGAGGATTTTAGTGGCATTATTCAATATGTGTGAGTACACAGAATTCCTGTGGGGCTTTGATACTTTAAATTTTATTTTTTTACTGGCAAGCAGTAATTGTCTTGACAGTTTTATATGAAGTAGTTTAATTTGTTGCTTTATGTGTAAAGGTTTTAGTTATAACAATCCAAAAGGAGAAAATAAACGTTATTATATAATGTCTGAGGATGCTGTCTGTTTTTCACATTGATCACCATAAAAGTATCATCTGCTGCACTCTATAAAACATGTCCTTTTCTTCTGATTATTCAAACTTGAAACATAAAAATGCCTTCCCTCCTCTTGCTGTCTTTCAAAATCTCCTTATGGTATGAAGTCTTTCTCCTATCAGATTTTGCTAAAATCTGAATACCTTCAGGCATCCTTGATGGTGTGTGCTTTTTTTCTGAATCTCTCTCTAGTGCTCTCCTGCATGTGTATGTGTAAGAATTACTAAATCATTTCAGGCTTATATCCACAGGTTTTTGGCTGAGCTTTTGCATGCTGAAGAGAGAGCACAAAAGAAAATGGAATAGAAAAAAAAGTTCATTTTCATACTTCTGTTATTTCTGAAACAGGTTAATCATGCAAACTGTCCAGAAGATCTGATGCTTTGAAATAGATGTTGTTAATATTTATTTTGAAATGTATATACAATTAAGTTATGATTTCACCTTTTGGTAGTAGCTGAGCTGTCTCGAACTTGTAGCGAAAAATCTTATAGTCATACCATGCCACCTCACTTTCCTTTAGCTTGTATCATCATTCTCTCCCATGGAAGACTGGATGATTTATTCTTTAAGGAAATTATACTTAATATCTAAGCAGTGGCTTCTTAACTTTCGAGTGGAGTGGAAATAAACAGGCTGCAATAATTGGGTCAGTCTAGAAGAAAAACTTGGAACACTCATACTCAAGATTGTTAATTTTTCTTGTTTGTTCATGTAACTTGCCAAACGCGACTTGTAGCTATCTGACACAGCAGAATATATTTATTGGCAAAATTCTTCATCTGTTTACTTACTGAGATCGTACTCATTTTTCCAAACCCGGTTCTTCCTTCAAAAAGGTATCTTACACTCAACTGAATTTCAAATGTTTTATCAATTTACCAGAATATTTTATAAGTGGAAATTGTCCTCAATTATAGGTTGAAAAGCACTGATTTACACTTGAATGCAAATAGCTTCAGAGTGTACCAAAACTAGCCCAACACTACTGTGGTTCATCAACTGAGGTTCTTTCAATGCCTCAGAGAACAGAAGTTGCAAAGGTTAAAATCATCCATATAGAATGTAATTGGAAACAAACATGCAATATCTGTAGGTCACATATTTGAGCTTAGCAATGCTCATTGTGGACTTCCATTTAGCACTTGCACAGATATGTTTTCACTAACTCTAGTTTCCATCTGGTCTGCAAATTCCCTCCATGTAAAGTGCATTACAACATTCTAGCTTTTAGGTGAAAATGTTACAGGCAAGTGTAATCTGATCTGTATCTGAAAGTTATATCCTCTTTTTGTCAAGCACAGATGGGTAAAAATATTTTCACTACAGCTATTCTTGGAGAGTCCTGAACTCTAACAATAGGTCCAAGATTGAAACATTGTCACATACAAAGCTTTCCCTTCTTGTAAGATACCAAAAATAATTGAGGAGCTCCTGGACAAACGCAAACACTAAAAGGAAGCATACAAAGCATGGAAGCAAGGACAAGTAGCCTGGGAATAATACAGAGATATTGTTCGAGGAGCCAGGGACCAGGTTAGGAAACCTAAAGCCCTGATAGAATTAAATCTGTCCAGGGATGTCAAAGGCAACAAGAAAGGCTAGGCACATGGGCGATAAAAGGAAGACTAGGGAAAATGTGGGCACTCTTCAGAAAGAAATGAAGGACCTGGCCATCTGGGATGTGGTGATGGCTGAGGTACCCAATGACTTTTTTTGCCTCAGTCCACAAGCAAGTGCTCAAGCCACACTGACCAAGTGGCAGAAGGCAAAGGTAGGGACTGGGAGAATGAAGAACCACTGGCTGTAGGAGAAGATTGGGTTCAAGTCCACCTCAGGAACCTGAAGGTGCACAAGTCTACGGGACCTGATGAGATGCATCCAGGGGTCCTGAGGGAATGGGTGAATGAAGTTGCTAAGCCACTATCCATCATATTCGAGAAGTCATGGCAGTCTGGTGAAGTTCCCAGTGACTGGAAAAGGGGAAATACAACCCTCATTTTTAAAAATGAAGACCCATGGAACTACAGGCCAGTCAGTCTCACCTCTGTGCACTGGCAGCCCAGAAAGCCAAACGCATCCTGGCCTGTATCCAGAGAAGTGTGGCCAGCAGGTCAAGGGAGGTGATGCTGCCCCTGTACTCCACCCTTGTGAGACCCCATCTGGAGTGCTGCGTCCAGCTCTGAGGCCTCCAATGTAAGAATATCGACCAATTGGAGCGAGTCCAGAGGAGGCCACGAAGACGATCAGAGGGTTAGAGCACCTCTGCTATGAAGAAATCAATTGATAAAGCAGGACTGAGAGAGTGAACAGTAGGAACTCAACTCAACCCTATAAAACAGGAGATAATCCCTGTTAGAAATCAAGGTGAATGTTAAAAATGTTTCTATATGGAGGTCAGGCTAGTGTCATTTGCAGTGTGTCTCTCACTGGACATGATTACTCTGGTCAGTCAGGGTCAGGAATCTTATGGATTGTTTGGTTTTTACTGGGACAGGAACTCTGAATTGCTTTTCAAGGCAAAGGAGTTCATAATATATTTCTTCCTCTGCCATGAAAGCTCCTACTCGTTTTTCTCTCTTGTGCCCTCAGTGTCTCAGTGTACAGTCTTCTATGTCTGGTAAGGGATGGTGATGCAGGCTTAGCACAGTGCAGTTTGAAGCTGGTGAATTGCCTGATCCA